TTTTGGGGCCCATTGTATTTTTCTATGTTTTTTAGATACATTTTCGTTTGATAGTTTTTTTTATCTCACCCCCTACAATAAACCTTGGATAATGCACTAGGGGGGTGTGCACCTGTTTTCTCCTACCATGGCGATTTTGAGGGGGGCTGCACCCCAAAGCATTTTTTTTGGTTGTCGCTTTTCCCGGTCCCTTTGGCATCCATTTTAGTTGCATATCCTAGGCGCTGGAGAGTACATTTACGATATAACAATTTTGGCCATATCCAAGATATTTCAATAATATATATACTATATATAAATATAGAACTATGGTATCCAAAACAAAAATTGGGAAAAATACAATAAACTAAACCCTCTAGCATAAAAGGTCTAACTTTCACCCTTGAAAGTGCAAATTATCTCAATAATACCCCAATATGCTGTAACATATTACCCTGCAAATGCAAAATGTGAAACAAATTTTTGAAATAGCATATAATAAGTAAAAACCCAAAACAACATAAATATAATAATAGATAAGTCCACTCGTGTCCAAAAGTAAAGTCATTCCAATCTTTGATTCCAATATGTAAAATTTCAAGATCCTTAATAACGAGCCCTCCTATTGGTTCCCAAAGGAAATGGGAACCTCAAAAAAAAAGGGAAACTCATATAGTGCATTAACTTTGATAAGATAAATAAATACCCAATAAAAACATTATGCACTGTGCAACTTCAAAAAATGTGACCATGAAAAAGTGAAATGGTGAACTACAGGTGTAACACAACCGTGATTGTGCTTCACTCTGTGAATAAATTAATCCAAGTGACCATTCAGTGTAAACTTCTAAGAGTGTAATGCATAAATACCCTTCCAAAAACTACCAAAAAACACCTTAATATTGCTGGGGAAATATGGCACCACGCTCCAACTAAACTCCCTTCCAAGCCTGAGCACCACTCCTTTATGATGTCATCAACAACCCTTCTCCTAGATGTCATCATGGCTTTTTTTGGAAGTACTCCATAGTACTTATAGTACCTATGCTCCAACATATGCGAATGGTATATGAAAAGGGATATAGTGTATTGTTCCATATGGATTATACAAAATATACATTATTATATGCTCACATTAAATTAATAATAAAATCGCCTTATTCCAATGCCATCTAGGGTCACCGAGCAGCCTCCAGGATTGCTTGGCATATGTTTTTACCAGTGTCCAAGATGGCCGATAGCCACTTCCAGTTCCTCTCTTGTGCAGCCGACGTTTACTTCTCTTGACGCGTTTCATTACTTCCCAGGAATTAGTCATAAGGGGTTGTGTTCATCAGATTTTGACAGCCGCATTTTTAGCTCCTCCTCCCTGCGGCTCCGGAGCTCTGCCCGCCAGTATTGGGGTGAGGGAAAGCTGCCAATACTTTATCAATTACAGAGTCATTTCCCACTTTGAATACAGCCAGCAGCTATAAATGGGACTGCTTATGGACTACCAAAACTTATACCAAGGCAATTATATAAACCCCCCCCCTAACTCCCCACAATCCAAGATATTATTATTATAGAACATATATAGAGATAAAAGGGTTTCTAGCTTCAGAGAGCCTTTAAATTAGTGCAGAACACTGTACCTTTAATTTAAATGCCCTTGGAGATGAGGAAAGAGAAGGAGAAGGAGAAGGAGAAGAGATGAGAAGAAGGAGAAGGATGAGGAAGAAGGAGAAAGGATGAAGAAGAAGGAGAAGGATGAAGGAAGAAGGAGAAGGATGAGCAAAAGGAGAAGGAAAGCAGAAGGAGAAGGATGAGAAGAAGGAAAAGGGAAGGATGAAGAGAATGGAGAAGGAGAAGGATGAGAAGAAGGAGAAGGATAAGGATGAGAAGAAGGAGAAGGAGAAGGATGAGAAGAAGGAGAAGGAGAAGGATGAGAAGAAGGAGAAGGAGAAGGATGAGAAGAAGGAGAAGGAGAAGGATGAGAAGAAGGAGAAGGATGAGAAGGGAGAAGGATGAGAAAAGAAGGAGAAGGATGAAAGAAGGATGAGAAGAAGAGAAGAGAAGGATGAGAAGAAGGAGAAGGATGAGGATGAGAAGGAGAAGGATGAGAAGAAGAAGGAGAAGGATGAGAAGAAGGATGAGAAAGAAGGATGAGAAGAAGGATGAGAAGAAGGAGAAGGATGAGAAAGAAGGAGAAGTTCTGTGACAGTTTCTGTCTATTTCTGACAGTTCTGGGACATTCACTCCATACAGCTGTTTCAACCGCTGTATGGAGGGAATGTCAGAACTGTCAAAATAGACTATTAATGACAGAGAAGGGACTGTCCTTCCATGCACGGTTGAAACATTGTATGTATTTGTTTCCATAAATGGATCCATTTATGGAAAACAAATACATACAATGTTTCAACCCGCTGTATGGAAGGACAGTCCCAGAACTGTCATTAATAGTCTATTTCTGACAGTTCTATGACATTCCCTCCATACAGCGGTTGAAACAGCTGTATGGAGTGAATGTCCCAAGCCGGCAAAAAGTGTATCTGCAGCGCTCCTCTAAGTGTATCTGCAGAATGTCATTTATGGAAAAAAATAGATACAATGTTTCAACCGCTGTATGGAGTGAATGTCCCAGAACTGTCATAAATAGTCTATTTCTGACAGTTCTGGGACATTCACTCCATACAGCTGTTTCAACCGCTGTATGGAGGGAATGTCATAGAACTGTCAGAAATAGACTATTAATGACAGTTCTGGGACTGTCCTTCCATACAGCGGTTGAAATTGTATCTATTTTTTTTCCATAAATGACATTCTGCAAATACACTTAGAGGAGCGCTGCAGATACACTTTTTGCCGGCTTGGAATTAATCTTATTTTCATCCTACTTCTTCTTCTTCATCCTCATCCTCATAAGAAGAAAAAGAAGAAGTAGGATGAAAATAAGAATAATTCCAAGCCGGCAAAAAGTGTATCTGCAGCGCTCCTCTAAGTGTATCTGCAGAATGTCATTTATGGAAAAAAATAGATACAATGTTTCAACCGCTGTATGGAGTGAATGTCCCAGAACTGTCATAAATAGTCTATTTCTGACAGTTCTGGGACATTCACTCCATACAGCTGTTTCAACCGCTGTATGGAGGGAATGTCATAGAACTGTCAGAAATAGACTATTAATGACAGTTCTGGGACTGTCCTTCCATACAGCGGTTGAAACATTGTATCTATTTGTTTCCATAAATGGATCCATTTATGGAAACAAATAGATACAATGTTTCAACCGTGGAAGGACAGTCCCAGAACTGTCATTAATAGTCTATTTCTGACAGTTCTATGACATTCCCTCCATACAGCGGTTGAAACAGCTGTATGGAGTGAATGTCCCAGAACTGTCAGAAATAGACTATTTATGACAGTTCTGGGACTGTCCTTCCATACAGCGGTTGAAACATTGTATCTATTTTTTTCCATAAATGACATTCTGCAAATACACTTAGAGGAGCGCTGCAGATACACTTTTTGCCGGCTTGGAATTAATCTTATTTTCATCCTACTTCTTCTTCTTCATCCTCATCCTCATAAAGAAGAAAAAGAAGAAGTAGGATGAAAATAAGAATAATTCCAAGCCGGCAAAAAGTGTATCTGCAGCGCTCCTCTAAGTGTATCTGCAGAATGTCATTTATGGAAAAAAATAGATACAATGTTTCAACCGCTGTATGGAGTGAATGTCCCAGAACTGTCATAAATAGTCTATTTCTGACAGTTCTGGGACATTCACTCATACAGCTGTTTCAACCGCTGTATGGAGGGAATGTCATAGAACTGTCAGAAATAGACTATTAATGACAGTTCTGGGACTGTCCTTCCATACAGCGGTTGAAACATTGTATCTATTTGTGTCCATAAAAACACTGTCAGAAATAGACTATTAATGACAGTTCTGGGACTGTCCTTCCATACAGCGGTTGAAACATTGTATCTATTTGTTTCCATAAATGGATCCATTTATGGAAACAAATAGATACAATGTTTCAACCGCTGTATGGAAGGACAGTCCCAGAACTGTCATTAATAGTCTATTTCTGACAGTTCTATGACATTCCCTCCATACAGCGGTTGAAACAGCTGTATGGAGTGAATGTCCCAGAACTGTCAGAAATAGACTATTTATGACAGTTCTGGGACATTCCCTCCATACAGCGGTTTCCGGCAAAAAGTGTATGTGCAGAGTTCCTCTATTCTGCAGATACACTTAGAGGAGCTCTGCAGATACACTTTAGACTCTGCACATACTCTTTTTGCCGGCTTGGAATTATTCTTATTTTCATCACTTCTTTCTTCTTCTTCTTCTTCTTCATCCTCATCCTCATCCTCTTCTTCTTCTCTCTGAGGATGAGGATGAGGATGAAGAAGAAGAAGAAGAAGAAGAAGTAGGATGAAAATAAGATTAATTCCAAGCCGGCAAAAAGTGTATGTGCAGAGCTCCTCTAAGTGTATCTGCAGAGCTCCCTAAGTGTATCTGCAGAATAGAGGAACTCTGCACATACACTTTTTGCCGGCTTGCAATTATTCTTATTTTCATATTATTCTTATTTTCATCCTACTGCTTTTTCTTCTTCTTCATCCTCATCCTCATCCTCAGAAGAAGAGGATGAGGATGAGGATGAGAAGAAGAAGAAGAAGAAGAAGAAGTAGGATGAAAAGAAGAATAATTCCAAGCCGGCAAAAAGTGTATGTGCAGAGTTCCTCTATTTCTGACAGTTCTCTCACAGCTTCTTCATGAAAAGAAGAATAATTCCAAGCCGGCAAAAAGTGTATGTGCAGAGTTCCTCTATTTCTGACAGTTCTCTCACAGCTTCTTCACATGAACAGTGGTTGAAACATCTGTATCCTAAATGTAAACTAATAGATACAATGTTTCAACCGCTAAACATGTGTTCCTTCTGTCAGAGAAATGTCAGAAATAGCGGAGCTCACTGCAGGGACACTTTTGCCGGCTGATCGGAAAATGTTCGATTCGCGCACCCGAAGTAGGCAAAATTTCGGTTTCGCCGCGAATCGAATATTTCCTGAAATTCGACTCGAATTCCGGTTCGCCTGGTTCGATTCGCTCATCTCTAATCATATATCATATATATACATCGGAATCCTGAACTCCCATATCCCCCATATCTAAAAACTAAACTATAATATAGATGATCCTTATTCTAAATGATGGGACATAATCCTATAGGATATAAAGTCCTGGTATTGTATATATATCTATCTATTACAAATATGTGGGTATAGTTAAATATAAACACTCATATATATAAAACAAGAAACTAACAAGGACTTTTTAACATAACTAATTAATATACTCATAACTACATAAATCACTAACACATATCCTCTAATATAATTAATGATACAGAAGAATTATATTGGAGGATATGTATTAGTGATTTTTACCTACAGCTTATGGTTAGTTAAGATCACTACATCATTGTGCTTTATATATGCATATATTGAACTGTTTTACGCAGAGTTGCTTCCCTAAGTTCTAGAAATAATATATATATATATATATATAATATATATAGTATTATCAGGGACGGACTGACCATTTGGAAACTTGGGCACTGCCCGAGGGCCTGGGGTCAGTAGGGGGCCCCATGAGATGTCCCCCTGGTACCTTTTTCATAGGCTTTTTTAAGTTTGGGCAAGGACACAGGGGCCCCATGATCCCCTATTGCCCGGGGGCCCCAAGAGTTGTCAGTCCGCCCGATATATATATATATATAATACACACACACATATTCCTCTTTCCGATTAGCAGCTTGCTGGGAGATGTAGTCAAAGAAAGACTCAGGAGTCCAGTTTTGGCAAAACACAGGATTGCAATTCCCACAATCCTTGCTTCATGACTTGGGAATACGATGCAGCCTGGGTGCAAACAGAAAAGTCTGCAGCTTTGAAGGTAATGTCCACTACATTCATATTGGGCAGCACAGTGGCTAGACGGTTAGCACTTCTGCCTGGAAGTACTAAGGTCATCGAATCCCAACCATGGCACCACCTGCCTGGAGTTTGCATGTTTTCCCTGTGCCTGCGTGGGTTTCCCTTCGGGTACTCTGGTTTCCTCTCACACTCCAAGGATATGCTAGTAGGTTAATTGGATCCTGTCTAAATTGGCCCTTGTATATGAAAATGTGAATTAGGGACCTTAGATTGTACACCCCTTGAGGGTTAGGGACTGATGTGAAATGTACAATGTATATGTAAAGTGCTGCGTAAATTGACGGCGCTTTATAAATACCTGTAATAATAATAATATTACTGTAGCTGGCATCTGGCTACATCAATAAAGAATATAAAATAATGTAAAATTAAATTGTCAATAGTCTTAAAAAATGGACATCAAAGAAATGTCTCAATAAAAGTTCTTGTAGGTATCCTGTATAATAATAGTATAGGGTAATGCAAGCAACTATATTAATGGCTGCTCCACACTCAGATAGAAGCAGTATGTGCGAAATACAGAAAAGAACAACAGAGGCACCAACAAGTGTAGTAAATAAGAATTCTCTATAATAAAAAGATAAATGTTAACTCGCTTTTAAATAATAAAATAATTTCTCCATCAGCAGTATAATAGTTAAAAAAAAATAGGTTGCGGTTAAATACATACAAAAGTGTAACAAAAAAAATAAATAACAAAACAATATTTTAAATCAAAATAAAATCCACGGCAAAAACGAAAAAGTCCAAAAGTTCAAATAATCAATAATGTCCAAAAATAATTTATCACCAAGTAAATCCACCACCAAAAATGGTTAAAACAGAACTCACCAGAGTAATAATGCTGATTGTTGAAAAACCAGCATATAGTACTTGTTACTCTGGGAAGAAATTAATAATAATGGAGACAACAACACTGAAGAAATCGACGGTCCCTACTACGGAGCTCCGTGAGGACGTCGATGACGAAAATGATTAGGGCTGTGCCATTGGATGTGAGGTTCAGAAATACTCCTGGTTTGTCTGCACTTGGCATTGCATGTTTGGCTTGTGTCTGAAGTCGGACTGTATTCATTGCACACGCTGTCGATAACTGGTGTCAGTCTGGACGACTCTTGCTTTGTAAGTGCAATTTCTTACATTTAAGTTTTGATGCTTTATAAAACATACTGCACCATGATTGTTTCGCTTTTTCTTTGATTGAACGGTCTTATCATCGTCTCAGTTTTGGATAATAACATCACTAGAGAAGAATCGAATCGAACTTGGCGAAGTGAATTCGTTTAGAATATTAGGAAAAATTCGATTCGCACCAAATCCTAAAATTAGAAAACTTCGGAGTGCGCACGAAACGAATTTTTCCCCGATCAGTTACCGATTTTCGATCCCTTCTAAACAGCCGGCAAAAAAGTGTCCCTGCAGAGAGCTCCCCGCTATTTCTGACAGTTCCTTCTGACAGGTCCTCCACATTTACAGCGGTTAAACATTGTACTATTTGTTTCCAAAAAC